CAGCCAGTCAAGCAGATAACTCTCCTCATCCTCCTGCTTCCGCTGGCCTTGGTGACTAATGTCGACTGGGATGGTGAGCAACAGAGTGAGTCAGTCATTCAGTCAGTCATGTTTGCTTGACTCCTCAGTGCACCCAGACAGGAGGCCTCACCTTGGACTGAAGTCAGCGACAAGCATCATACCTGACGGAGCTGTAAATTCCCTAGTCCCTAGGGCGCTGGGTGTTCCAGGCACATTAATTACCGAAAAGGTTGTTTTTATCAAAGAAATGCCACAGGCTGATAAAGGTGACACACTAGCTGAATGAACAAGCTGTGACAGAAATCTGTGCTCAAATTGAAGTAATGATAATTTTGTAAAATACAACGATTCAAGGTTTTGAAGAATCAAAATGGGACAGCAAAGTCATCCTAAACACCTCACAGCTTTGACTAGATCTCACCAGAATATGGATGCATTGAACATGTGTGATAAAGACACAATATTCTGCTAAATAAATGCCAGGGGTCCATGGTTTCACAGAGCAATCCAATCTATTTGTACTCCCATTGACAGTTGAGCATTATTCATGATTGTCCATGCAGAGATAATCTGAGGAAATCTCATGCCACACCACTGTGCAGATTTATTTGCTCACGGAAGAGAAGTTTGTTTGTCTCTAATTTGTGCCCCTTTTCACGTACTGTATCAGGAGATCAGCCATGGCAGAGTATGGGTTTATTCATTTAAGTTTGCCAGTATTATGTTGGCTCTGTGGTTATGTTCACTAGATAGGACAGGATTGCGTGATGTATCTGGTCCTACTGTTGGAGCTCAACATACAATTCGGTCTCATTATTTGAAACCTCGTAGAGAAAACAAATTTTGACCAATGTTGGATATATACGATGAATAAAATCAAAATGCTCCAGCAAATGCCAGACAGAACCAAAACATACTTTCTCCTGGATCATGACGTACAGTGCATTCGAAAAGTATTCAGGCCCCTTGACTTTTTCCACATTTTGTTACGTTACAGCCTTATTCTAAAATTGATTAAATATTTTTTCCCTCATCAATCTACACACAATAGCCCATCATGACCAAGCAAAAACAGGTTTGTAGATTTTTTTTGCAAATGTATTAAAAATACAAATCTGAAATATCACATTTACATAAGTATTCAGACCCATTACCCAGCACCTTTGGCAGCGATTACAGCCTTGAGTCTTTTGGGGTATGACGCTACAAGCTTGCCACACCTGTATTTAGTGAGTTTCTTCCGTTCTTCTCTGCAAATCCTCTCAAGCTCTGTCAGGTTGGATGGGGAGCGTCTCACCAGAGATGTTCGGTCGGGTTCAAGTCCGGGCCCTGCCTGGGCCACTCAAGGACATTCAAAGACTTGTCCCGAAGCCACTCCTGCGTTGTCTTGGCTGTGTGCTTAGGGTCATTGTCCTGTTGGAAGGTGAACCTTCACCCCAGTCTGAGGTCCTGAGTGCTCTGGAGCAGGTTTTCATCAAGGATCTCTCTGTACTTTGCTCCGATCATCTTTCCCTCCATCCTGTCTCCCAGTCCCTTCCGCTGAAAAACATCCCCACAGCATGATGCTGCCACCACCATGCTTCACCGTAGGGAGGGTGCCAGGTATCCTCCAGACATGACGCTTGGCATTCAACCCAAAGAGGTCATTCTTTGTTTCATCAGACCAGAGAATCTTGTTTCTCATTGTCTGAGAATCTTTAGGTGCCTTTTGGCAAATGCCAAGTGGGCTGTCATGTGCCTTTTACTGAGGAGTGGCTTCCGTCTGGCCACTCTACCATAAAGGAGCTCTACGGACAATTCCTTCCTTCTCATGGCGTGGTTTTTGCTCTGACATGCACTGTCAACTGTGGGACCTTATATAGACAGGTGTGTGCCTTTCCAAATCATGTCCAATCAATTGAATTTACCACAGCTGGACTCCAATCAAGTTGTAGAAACATCTCAAATAATCAATGGTAACAGGATGCACCTGAGCTCAATTTCGAGTCTCATAGCAAATGGTCTGAATACTTAAATAAGGTATTTCAGTTTTTTATTTTTAATACATTTGCAAAAAATTCTAAAAACCAGTTTTCGCTTTGTCATAATGAGGTTTTGTGTGTAGATTGATGAGGGGAAAAAAGTATTTAATCAATTTTAGAATAAGGCTGTAACTTAACAAAATGTGGAAAAAGTCAAGGGGTCTGAATACTTGCACATATATATATTAATCTTGAACAGGATTATCAGGATTATTTATTTTGGATGCAATTTGAATAGAATTGATGGAGATAGAGACACTGATCTAAATTAGCTGCAATTTAAAAAATAAATACAATCTTGACCAGTGGAGGAAGGGGAGGACCATCCTCATCAGTGATTTTCATAAAAATAAAAATGGTAAAACATAAAAAAAGTTAATCTTTTTAAATATACTAAATATATTCACGTCACCAAATAATTTATTTAAACACACTGTTTTGCAATGAAGGTCTACAGTAGCCTCAACAGCACTCTGTAGGGTAGCGCCATGGTGTAGCCGGAGGACAGCTAGCTTTCGTCCTCCTCTGTGTACATTGACTTCAATACAAAACCTAAGAGGCTCATGGTTCTCACCCCCTTCCATAGACTTACACAGTAATTAAGACAGCTTCCGGAGGATGTCCTCCAACCTATCAGAGCTCTTGCAGCATGAACTTACATGTTGTCCACCCAATCAAAGGATCAGAGAATTAATCTAGTACTGAAAGCATAAGCTACAGCTAGCTAGCACTGCAGTGCATAAAATGTGGTGAGTAGTTGACTTAAAGAGGGAGAAAGACAATAGTTTAACAGTTTTGAACAAATTAATTTATTCAAAAATGAAGGAGAGCAAGAGAGAGAGAGAGAGATTTAGATATTTTTTTTCACTTACAGTTTCACTTACTTAGCTAGCAAATGCAGCTAGCTAGTTTAGCCTACTCAAACACCCTGCTCAAACAGAGGGATGCTATGTTCGCAAGCTGGCTATGACTATCCAACACAACTCTGGAACTCTTCCAAGTCAATGTAAGCTTGTGGTTTTACAAATGTATTGCTACCGGGGCCTGCTGGCGTAACTGCTAAAATGCCAACTGACTATACACTGTAAAGTTACTGCATGATTGTGGCGGGTTTACTAATGCGTTAGTTCTTTAGCTAAGTTGACTATGACATTACTTTAGCTAATATGGTGACAACTATGTAGGCTGTGTGTAGCAGTTATGCTATGGTTTGGCTTGGAAAGGTTTTTTGCTTGGTCACATACAGCTGATGTGTTGTGCATTGAAGTCCACAAACAAAGGGAAAAGGGGAGTGGGAGGAGAGCAACGTGGCTGCTATGAATGTGAACTGTGTTTACGCGTGACCATGGGTGTATTCATTCCGCCGATTCTGTTGAAAACCTTTCTTAAACGGAAGCAAACGGAACGAAACAGGAATAAACATACCTGAATTTGTCCAATATAAACTTTTGTTTGCAACTGGTAGACTAATGATTATACCCTAGATCAGCTAGATGCAGGCAATAGTGTGCAAGGTGGTATTGAATGTGTCGCTGTCTGTCCATGTCTGTCACAACATTTTGTCTCGACCTCTGTGCACCTACGTTGTAATCTTTCATTCATAGGCTAGGTTGTAGCAACCTCATGAGTATCATGTAGTAGCCTTAACCTATCGATGTTACATTGAACTGGGTGAATGGAATATGAATGACAGTCATCCAATATGCTGTAATAGAAATAAGGCCATGCTTATAAAAAAAGAAAATAGTCCTCCCTCATCTTAAACGGCACTGACCACCACTGATCTTGACCATTTAAAAATAAGGTGACCCCTCAAAGCCAAATTGATATGTGTAAATTAGAGAATATGTGTAAATTACACATACATTCAGTCCTTATATTAATGTAGCATAGGCTCTGCTGCAGCAAATGTAGACTTACCAGTCAAAATATTTTTTTTTACCATGATGACATTCATTGTGAACTGCACTCCATACAGAGATGTGTTGTCTGTCCCAACCCTGAGCATTGATCATGCAGATAGCAGAGAGAAGGCCATAAAGAGGCCAGCTTTAGACATCCCATATAATTTAACAGTTCCATTTCACATCATGCTGTTCATAGAATTAATTTATTATAATTTACCAGTTTGTCGCAGTTATTTATCCTGGGAAAAGGGAGTGGGTTTGGGCGGTAAATCTTAGTAAATCTCGGTAGCCTGGTTCCCGCTATTCTACCCTAATTGGCACTAAGAGCCTTCTCTGTCACACCCTGACTCAGGGGACTCTTATATGTTGAGTCAGGGAGTGTATATTCTTTGTTATATATATTCTATGTTGTAGTTCTATTATGTGTAGATCTATGTTGGCGGTGTGGTTCCCAATCAGAGGCAGCAGTAGTTCGTTGTCTCTGATTGGGGACCATACTTAGGCAGCCTTTTGGCACTAGTGGGTTGTGGGATCTTGTTCCGTATAAGGTTTGTTGTGTGTTACCTTAGGACTTCACGTGTCGTTGGTTTATTGTTTTGTCGTGTGTTTATTCGTGATAATAAACATGTATGCATATCACGCTGCGCCTTGGTCCGTCCCGTCCGTCAACGAGCGTGACATTCTTAAGTTGCTGTGGATTTCCTTATTTCTGACTGTGGGAGTCTTGGCAAGTAATTGCCTGTGATTTTCCAAATCAGATTAATCATCAACGTGCAATTTCCTCTAATCTAGTTGAATGACTCCAGTCCAGCTAGTATAGTCAGATGGAGAGGCACTTGCTCTCATTGGCCGACACTTCCGCTCCGATATCAATGTGTGGAATTCAAGTACTTAGTGGCTTGGCTTATGACCTGTCTGCCATCCACTATTGAGTAGGTTTCGTCACCATCTGGCAATGGACACATTGAGCAATACAGGGACCTACAGGTTGAGGTGGTTGTCACCTACAATGTAAACCTAAGTACAAGCAAGGAGATTTGGACTGAGACTAGTAGTTGGATCTGAATACATCCAGACTCTGGGGCCTAGCTCGTTCAGTCTGGAGCCACCATCCTAATAGATGAGAAAAGGTACTAAAAAGGTACTAAAACCCAGCATTATAGCATAAGTACCCACAGCTGAGGTGCACATGTAAGTGGTTGATGTACAGTATGTTTGTATGGGTCCATGGCAACTTGTTCCATCCTTCGAAATAAGATAGAACATCTTCCTGGCGGTAAGGAGAAGGGAAGGAGCCTGTGTAGTCCCCTGTAGCTCAGTTAGTAGAGCATGGCGCTTGCAACGCCAGGGTTGTGGGTTCGTTCCCCACGGGGGGCCAGTATGAAAAATGTATGCACTCACTAACTGTAAGTCGCTCTGGATAAGAGTGTCTACAAAAAAAAAAGAAGTATGTGACTTACAATAACCATGATTTTGTTTTGCTGTTCTTTCCACATACAATCGACAAACACAAAACTCTAAACTTCTGAGGGGGTACACGTGGGTATCAGTCCCCATAACCACCGGTCCCTGGGGTTTCTTATGAAATTAAATGGAGTGCTTTACAGTCCCAGCTTCCTCAGTTAAATGTTTGCAGTAACATCAGCAGTTGGCCAATAGCAGGAGGTTGATTCATAAATACACTATATATACAAAAGTACTTCAAATGAGTGGATTCGGCTATTTCAGCCACACCTGTTGCTGACAGGTGTATAAAATCAAACACACAGCCATGCAATCTCCATAGACAAACATTTGCAGTAGAATGGCCTTCCTGAAGAGCTCAGTGACTTTCAACGTGACACCTTCATAGGATGCCTTCTTTCCAACAAGTCAGTTTGTCAAATTTCTGCCCTGCTAGAGCTGCCCCGGTTAACTGTAAGTGCTGTTATTGTGTAGTGGAAACATTCAGGAGCAACAATGGCTCAGACGTGAAGTGGTAGGCCACACAAGCTCACAGAATGGGACCACCAAGTGCTGAAGCGCGTAGTGCGTAAAACTCGTCTGACCTCGGTTGCAACACTCACTACAGAGTTCCAAACTGCCTCTGGAAGCAACGTCAGCACAATAACTGTTCGTCGGGAGCTTCATGAAATGGGTTTCCATGGCCGAGCAGCCGCACACAAGCCTAAGATCACCATGCGCAGTGCCAAGCGTCAACTGGAGTGGTGTAAAGCTCGCCGCTATTGGACTCTGGAGCAGTGGAAACGCGTTTTCTGGAGTGATGAATTACGCTTCACCATCTGGCAGTACAACGGACTAATCTGGGTTTGGCGGATGCCAGGAGAACACTACCTGCCCTAATGCATAGTGCCAACTGTAAAGTTTGGTGGAGGAGGAATAATGGTCTGGGGCTGTTTTTCGAGCTAGGCTCCATAGTTCCAATGAAGGGAAATGTTAATGCTACAGCATATAATGACATTCTAGACAATTCTGTGCTTCCAACTTTGTGGCAACAGTTTGGGGAAGACCCTTTCCTGTTTCAGCTTGACAATGCCCCCGTGCACAAAGCTAGGTCCATATAAAAATTGATTGTCGAGATCAGTGTGGAAGAACTTGACTGGCCTCCACAGAGCCCTGACCTCAACCCCATCGATCACCTTTAGGATGAATTGGAACGCCAAATGCGAGCCAGGCCTAATCGCCCAACATCAGTGCCCGACCTCACTAATGCTCTTGTGGCTGAATAGAAGCAAGTCCGTTTAGCAATGTTCCAACATTTAGTGGAAAGCCTTCCCAGAAGAGTGTAGGCTGTTATAGCAGCAAAGGGGAGACCAACTCCATATTAATACCCGTGATTTTGGAATGAGATGTTAGATGAGCAGGTATTCACATACTTTGGGTCATGTAGTGTATCTCTGTAGCAGAGACAGATCACAGGAGAATACTCCTCTTTCCCACTCTCCCTCAAATTTGATGATTTGGCAAACTCTTAATTCAAATCATGTTGTCTATTAGAGCAAATCAATAATTTTACAGAGGGCCAGCACAATCGTACTGCAAAACGCACCCCTGAAATATACTATAGTGAATGGTACGGAGAGAGAGAGAAAAATAAAGCGAAAGAGAGAGAGAAAGAGGAGATGAAAGAGAGTGTGAGAGAGATAGAGAGAGAGAGAGAGAGAGAGAGAGAGAGAGAGAGAGAGAGAGAGAGAGAGAGAGAATAGATGATAGTTGTTGTGGAGGATATGGGGGTTCTGAGTAGAGTGGATATACAGTAACTCTTTACTGTACGAAATTACAGTGCTCCTGGGGCCACTCACTGCAGAAAAAAACTGCTGCAATTTGGCTCAAGGGCCGCAACCATGACAACTGATGAAAGGTACCAGTACACACAAAGAGAATACTATCCTCTCTCTTGAAACTTAGGAGGCAAGTCTGTTTGAGAGCATCCGTAAGGCATAAGGTATGTGCAGAGACCTTACAGTTAAGTCTTTGCTTAATTGACTAATGTTGTGCTAAAACTAATGCAGTTTCATTATTTTTACATTCAGCTGGATTACTTCAGGCCCCCTGTGAAATTTTGGAGACAAGATTGTACATCTCATTCTTGCATTGGATTATGAATAATGGAAATATTGCATAATTGTCAAGCTCCTCAACATTTTGCTTAATGAGCTAAAATAAACAAAGAGCTTACATTTGTTCTATTCCTTTATACAATTTAGAAAACTAATCACCATTCATTTGAATTGTAAATTAGATCCTCACATGGTGATGCTGAATGAGGTATGTTGTGGTTCTGGGAGTATGCTATATACAGTAATGTGAGTTTTCAGATACGTGGACACCAGCATTTTCAGAAATGTTGTGGCAACACACTGCTTCGGCACCAAAGTGTGTTATCAAAATTATGTTTTGCTTGGCTGATATCATGACAGGAGGACATTGGCTTGTGCCGGAGGCCCTAAATTTACCAATGACTAACATATTGCACTTGAGGCTGCTCTATTATCAGCTAATGACATGGTTAAGGTTGACATTTACATTTTAGTCATTTAGCAGACACTCTGATCCAGGGGGACCTACAGGAGCAGTAGGGTTAAGTGCCTTGATCAAGGGCACATTAACAGATTTTTCACCTAGTCGGCTTGGGGATTCGAACCAGAAACTCTTGACCTCTAGGCCAGTGGTTCCCAAACTGTTGGTCGAGACCCACTTGTGGCTCGCGGCAGGGGTCCAGGTGGGTTGTGGGATGACACCCCCCCCCCCCCCCCCCCCCCCCCCCCCCCCAAATAAAGCAACAACAATATAAATACAGTACCAGTCAAAGGTTTGGACACACCGATTCATTCAAGGATTTTCATTTATTTTGACTATTTTCTACATTGTACAATAATAGTGAAGGCATCAAAACTATGAAATAACACAAATGGAATCATGTAGTAACCAAAAAAGTGTTAAACAAATCAAAATATATTTTAGATTTTAGATTCTTCAAAGTAGCCACCCTTTGCCTTGATGACAGCTTTGCACACTCTTAGCATTCTCTCAACCAGCTTCATGAGGTAGTCACCAGGAATGCATTTCAATTAACAGGTGTCCCTTTTTAAATGTTAGTTTGTGGAATTTATTTTGTTCTTAATGCATTTGAGCCATGAAGGTCAGTCAATCCGGAAAATTTAAAGAACTTTGAAAATGTCTTCAAGTGCAGTCGCAAAAACCATCAAGTGCTATGATGAAACTAGCTCTCATGAGGACCGCCACAGGAAAGGAAGACCCAGAGTTAACTCAGCTGCAGAGGATAAGTTCATTAGAGTTACCAGCCTCAGAAATCGGCAATTTACTGCACCTCAGATTGCAGCCCAAATAATTGCTTCACAGAGTTCAAGTAATAGACACATCTCAACAACAACTGTTCAGAAGAGACTGCGTGAATTAGGCCTGCATGGACGAATTTCTGCAAATAAACCCCTACTAAAGGACACCAATAATAAGAAGAGACTTGATTGGGCCAAGAAACACAAGCAATGGACATTAGACCAGTGGAAATCTGTCCTTTGGTCTGATGAGTCCAAATTTGAGATTTTTGGTTCCAACTGCCGTGTCTTTGTGAGACACAGAGTAGGTGAACGGATGATCTCCGCAAGTGTGGTTCCCACCGTGAAGCATGGAGGAGGAGGTGTGATGGTGTGGGGGTGCTTTGCTTGTGACACTGTCAGTGATTTATTTAGAATTCAAGGCACACTTAACCAGCATGGCTACCACAGTATTATGCAGCGATACGCCATCCCATCTGGTTTGCGCTTAGTGGGACTATCATTTGTTTTTCAACAGGGCAATAACCCAAAACACACCTCCAGGCTGTGTAAAGGCTATTTGACCAAGAAGGAGAGTGATGGAGTGCTGCATCAGATGCCCTGGCCTCCACAATCACCCAACCTCAACCCAATTGAGATGGTTTGGGATGAGTTGGACCGCAGATTGAAGGAAAAGCAGCCAACAACTGCTAAGCATTTGGGAACTCCTTCAAGACTGTTGGAAAAGCATTCCAGGTGACTACCTCATGAAGTTGGTTGAGAGAATGCCAAGAGTGTGCAAAGCTGTCATCAAGGCAAAGGGTGGCTACTTTGAAGAATCTAATATCTAAAATATATTTTGATTTGTTTAACACTTTTTTGGTTACTACATGATTCCATTTGTGTCATTTCATAGATGTCTTCACTATTATTCTACAATGTAGAAAGTAGTAGAAATAAAGAAAAACCCTTGAATGAGTAGGTGTGTCCAAACCTTGGACTGGTACTGTATATATATAGAAAAATGCTTTCAGTGTAAACTTAAATGACTAAAACCAAATAGAAAGTACGTAGAAAAGATAATGGACCTTTATATTTTTCAATAATAGCCTATAATCTTTGAGAATTTACAAACAAAGCTAGACAATCAGGCCACCATTGATTTTGTTATAATGTTTAAGCATTAGAACACAGCATTAGCCATGTCAAAATGCGTAGAATTGTAGGACTTAATAACAAAACAGCTCTATGGCAAAATGTATAAAATTGCAGGAAATTGGCTATAAAATTGCAAGATTTTCTTTCAGCTCCATGGCAGGTTGTGTAGAATTGCAGGAGATTAGCTTTGAAACTGAAAAACCTCGCTCTGCTGCCAAGATAACATTTTTGAACTTATCTTTGGTCTGTATATATTTTTTCACCACAGCCATTATGGTGGGTCGAGACTCAAAAGACTCCTCAATTGGTGGGTCACAAAGTAGAAAAGTTTGGGAACCCCTGCTCTAGGCTACCTGCCGCCCTTTCGATGGGAAAATATCTTAAGTGGTCTTTCTTGAGTTTAAGGCAGGATCATGTTTACAGTTAATTTAGTGCATTAAGTTATCAAATTCATGTCTTTCATCAGGTTGTCAAGTGTAACACAAGCTCTACAGTACACCCCGCCTTATGCATTAAATAAAGTACATATGATTTTAGAAACAAGGATCTGAACATAATTACTGAGGCCATGTTTCTCAACCACTCTCTTTGGATCCCTTTTGATCACCAAGAACTGAACCTGTATAAAGTGTGCCACAACAAATCATGTCTTCACTGCAAATAGTTGTGACATTATGACGTCATGCAACTGTTGCGAGGAAACCCATCAGTTCCCAGCAACTATCGTAGCAAGCTGATGAAAGTAAGAGACATTAACGCGTAAGAAGGAATCAACCATCAAAGCTTCACAATCCAACCAATTCCAGAATCAGTCCTGTCTAGACTGATTAGAATCCTGAAGATTGTGTTGTCTGTACAGGGAAATGAAAGACAGTCAGGCTTGGAGTGCCTACTGATTTTAATGACCTGGGAGCTTGTCTCTAATATGCTGATTGGATTTGCTATTGATTGTGTTTTCAACTTGTGTAATGGCCCAGTTTTGGTGATTGCTATTGTACTGCAGTGCAGATTGTACTTGGAGACGTGGAGTAATGGGAACATTTAATCATGTCTAACAGAACAAGAGGATCCTACCCTTTACATTGCATTTACCTAACATTTACCCTAGCTCATACTACAGTAGCCTACATCTCTGCAGATGCATAAGGCTGTTGGAGAAGGGTTATAAGTTTACATTCAAGCACAAATAAATGTTAAGAACCGTAATGAAACCAATCTATTTAGTTGGCATTGCACTTGCAAAACATATTCCGCATTCCTCTAGTTACACTTAAGTGCAATATAGTGATGATTCTTCTATTCTGCTTAATTGATAATATTTGAATAATCAAAGTTCCTGGCAGAGTTTGGAACTTGCCACAGGAAGTATGTACAGTATACCCCTGCAACCTGGGCGTACATTTTGGACTCCATGTTTCTCACCCCTGCATGCAAAATAACCATAGTATTTTAAATAGATGGAATGGCACATCAACCAAAACATGTTCAGAATACTACAACTAGCGATTGCATCTGTGAGGTCATAAACAGAATGTGTGTGAGAGTAGGCTATGGTAAACAAGGAAATCCTTTTCTTACTTGTGCACTTTTTGATGCCGGATCCTTTCTTCAGAGCGTGTCGACTGAGTTTGCACTGGAAGTTGTTTTCCCAGAACTCTGCGAACCAAATATTCCTTCTGTTGTTGTCCAAAGTTCTGCTGATGAAGTACCGATCAAACCCTAGAGAGATCAATGAGAGGCACATTTGGATTTGAACTACTGCAGCAATGACTTTATCAACATATTTTTTCAACACTATCTCCGCATAGTACTTTCATCTCACTGGTGTTCTTATCCTGCTGTTGTTTACAGTGTGTCAGTGTTTGATATGGAAATATCTAGCTATATTAGACGTGCATTGTCATAGACAACAGAAAATAGATTTAAATGTCATCCTCACTTGACCAGAACTGCCTACCGTTGTGTGGCATTTATGACAATGAGGAATAAAGGACATTATATAGTGTGTATAACATCAATACCTCGGATGGACTGTCGTTTGGGTAGGATCGTGACAGCCCCTTCTGCCATCTCTTCCTGGTTCAGGATGGGGGAGATCTTAGACCCCCAGCTGTCTGACCCCACCCATATAAAATGTCCTGTCTGGTTAGCCTTCTTAGCTGCTTGAAGAAGCCGCCTGTAAGAGGGGAAAAGAGAGAATACAATACAATTCTTGCCACTTATATACAAAAGGGCCTTGATGATTAGTTGAAAACCGTGTGTTGGTACTGGACATGAACAAAAGCCTACCTGCACATCCCGTGGGTCCCTAGGACCAGCACAACACACTAAAGAAGAACACAGTTGGAACACTGCCACCCTCCCTGCCTAAGACAGAGGGCACCCTGTGGAGTGTGCATGGTGCAGGCTAGTGAACACCCATCCCAGGCTGCCAGTGCTGCCACATTACTCCAAGGTTGGTCCCTCCCTGGTAATAGAGCTAATTAAGAAGCAACCATGATGAGCCAGCCGGCGTTCCCTGCTGTTCCACCAGGCTCTGTATTAAATCACTCATTTTGCTGCCACCAGGACCACAGTACTCAAATCAAATTGTATTTGTCACCTGCGCCGAATACAACAGGTGCAGACTTTACTGTGAAATGCTTACTTACGAGCCCTTTCCCAACAATGCAGAGATAAAAAGTAAGATACATTTGCTGAAACTTCAAAAGGAAATAGCAACACAATATAATAACAATAACGAGACTATATACAAGGAGTACAGGTACCGTGTCAATGTGCAGGGGTACGAGGTAGTTGAGGTATTTGAGTTAATATGAACATGTAGGTAGAGGTAAAAGTGACTAGGCAATCAGGATATATTAGACGTAGTACTGGAAACACAGTCGCTACAACAGCCAGGTACAATAACAACACAGTGTCTCCTGAGTCACTCTGCTACCCCTATTCCTCACCACTCAATCCAAAGAATGAAGAGACTGAGAATAATGCATGTTTGAGTTATAATGACCTTTCTCCTACCTCTCACTGAATAAACATGGTTTATTCTGAGTCCCAGCTTTCCCATGTGGCTTTACAGGAGACAATAATGTCCATAACAAAACCTACAGTATACTATGCAAATGTTGTCATATGCTCCTTTTTTGCCTCACTTGAGAATTGTTATTTGTATGGGTCCATGGCAACTTGTTCCATCCTTCAAAATAAGATAGAACATCTTCCTGGACGTAAGGAGAAGGGAAGGAGACTGTTTTGTCAACTGTCAATTGCAACCCCCCCTTAAGGTCGTTCACAGGACAATCTAGTTTATCACATAAACACCAGGTGTTCTCATCATGAAATCACTCAATTACATGGACTGAAGGTCTATGTTTAGGACAAAATGCAGGATAGCACTAACATCATTCTCCTGTGGATGAGGCAACTCTTGCTCAAGCAGTTTTCTATAGTTTTTGTTTTTTTATTAAGTGGCTGCCAACTGACATTGACTGGGTTCAAGGGTAGAGCAGACATACTGAGCTTAAATCCCCCTGGCTTTGTATAATTACTGTATATCCACACTATTACCCATTATCAAGCTTGGATTAAGTCAATGAGCACTGGGACCTCTGCCCCGGTCATCCACCATCTACGGCTTCCTCAAATCACTGCCTATATCCTTTAAGAAGAATATATACCTGACTAATGTCAACTGCTCCTCTACATGGTAATTCTAGGTTAATGCTATTTATAACAACTCTTTTCTACACATTTGTACTGTTGAGCAAAAGCAATAGGACAGGGTAAAAAAAGTGCAAAATTATTTAATGGTAACTTTGGTTATTGTAATAAATTGCCTTTGGATACTTCTCACATTGGTTTATACTGTATGTGTTACTTGACTCAGCAACCCGATTTTTATTTTAAGCCTATTACCTCATAGAACCTCAAAATCCCTGCATTTGGTATATTGCCTCTGAGGGCAGATGGATATTATACAATATGCATTCTACTCACCAAGCTATTGGAATAAGTTAGCATTATTTATTATATATGTGAGTACAAATTACATGTTAAAGTCATTGCTATATTCTTGAATAGAAAAAGTTCACAGTATAGTTCAAATATAAATCAAATTGGCAATAAATTGTGTAGGGCTCCCTCTCTCTCTCTCTCTCTCTCTCTCTCTCTCTCTTCTCATGCACCTCTCAACAAAAGTCCTGTGTTCATATTTACATACCATAAGCCACTGCAGTGTTGTTTTGTGAAATGTTTTGGATCCTATGTGTGTATCCAATGACAGACAGATGGCAAATGTTGCACTATATCAATATGGAGGACAAACCCATACATTGTGCTATATATGTACTGTATATTCTATGCTTGTGTTAGTACTAGGTAATTTTAGAATGTGCTGCAAAACATAATGGCTAGCTGCATTACTTGCACCCACGCACATCACCACCTGCCACCCCATGCCAACTGATCAAGATGCTCCTCAGTCCTATTAAAGGTTTATAACACTGCAGGGGAACAGAGGAAATTAAACAAGATGCAGAAGATTGGAAATTGCTATAATCTAGAAATATATACCACAGATGAGAAGAACATATTATCAGAATGCTACATATAGTTAGATTGTATATATTTAATGTAAACTGGCACACATCCATTACACTATGGACACCTAATGAAAACAAAGCTGTTATAGCTTACAGTAAATAACTAATTGAATGTTATCTGAGGAGGACAATATACACATTTACAGCCATTTACACCACAGTGTATACCCAATGGGCCAACATTATGAATGTGTCATTAAACAGAAACTCAGATGGATTGAGTAACTTTGTTGGCATCATTTAGTTAGTTAGTTTCATATTTTTTTCATTCCTGTAACAGTCAACTGAACTTACTTAATGTCATCTTCGTTGGCAAAGAGAATGACAACCCGGGCATTGGGGTTCTCCGACAGTCTACGGATGACCTTGTCAAACTCTCCAAGCTTAGGTTCTCGTGGTATCTTCAATGACTGAGAGATGCACACACCTCCTGCAACCAAGACAGAGGAAAAACATTTTAGGACTATTATATTGTTAGGAATTGAAAACTGGTCAAGGTGTGGAGAAATGCTGGATGCAATAGATAAACTTCTATACTTAAGAGTTTTATTAAACAAAAATGTGCACAGGGAGACCAAAACGAGACTTCTGCAAGGTCCGTAATAAACTGTCACCCTCCAGAGGGAAGGGCGGACCTAAATGCTCTTCCTTATCTGTACGTTGTTTCATCCCTCCGTGCCTAGTTCCAAAACACTAAATCAAGGCTGAAACCTGGGGGTTGAATAGACTATACATTTGACACCCATGGCCAATTTTATGGCTCAGGAGACCAGATACCAATTACTAAGTATTGCTTTATGGTAACCTCTGAACTTAGAGTGGGTACCTAGAGACCAAATTCCAATAGGGAATAATCATCAAAATATGGTTCTTAACAATAGACAGAGGAAAATAGACATGAACAAAAGCTGAACTGCTGATCTGTCTTGGGGCTCCATCCAAACAGTTTAAAATCTGTACCTGGGGACTTAAATAAACATTTATCTTTCTAAGGGTGTGCCATCTTTGATGTACAGTGCCTTGTAAAAGTATTCATCCCCCTTGGCGTTTTTCCTATTTTGTTGCATTACAACCTGTAATTTAAATTGATTTTTATTTGGATTTCATGTAATGGACATACACAAAATAGTCCAAATTGGTGAAGTGAAATGAAAAAGATTACTTGTTTCAAAACATTCTAAAAAAACAAATAACAGAAAACTGGTGCGTGCATATGTATTCACCCCCTTTGCTATGAAGCCCCTAAATAAGATCTGGTGCAACCAATTACCTTCAGAAGTCACATAATTAGTTAAATAAAAACCACCTGTGTGCAATCTAAGTGTCACATGATCTGTCACATGATCTCAGTATATATACACCTGTTCTGAAAGGCCCCAGAATCTACAACACCACTAAGCAAGGGGAACGACCAAGCAAGCGGCACCATGAAGACGAAGGAGCTCTCCAAACAGGTCAGGGACAAAGTTGTGGAGAAGTACAGATCAGGGTTGGGTTATAAAAAAATATCAGAAACTTTGAACATCCCACGGAGCACCATTAAATCCATTATTAAAACATGTATAAAATATGGCACCACAACAAACCTGCCAAGAGAGGGCCGCCCACCAAAACTCACTGACCAGGCAAGGAGGGCATTAATCAGAGAGGCAACAAAGAGACCAAAGATAACCCTGAAGGAGCTGCAAAGCTCCACAGCGGAGATTGGAGTATCTGTTCATAGGACCACTTTAAGCCGTACACTCCACAGAGCTGGGCTTTACGGAAGAGTGGCCAGAAAAAAGCCATTACTTAAAGAAAAAAATAAGCAAAGACGTTTTGTGTTCGCCAAAAGGCATGTGGGAGACTCCCCAAACATATGGAAGAAGGTACTCTGGTCAGATGAGACTAAAATTGAGCTTTTTGGCCATCAAGGAAAATGCTATGTCTGGCGCAAACCCAACACCTCTCATCACCCCGAGAACACCATCCCCATAGTGAATCATGGTGGTGGCAGCATCATGCTGTGGGGATGTTTTTCATTGGCAGGGACTGGGAAACTGGTCAGAATTGAAGGAATGATGGATGGCGCTAAATACAGGGAGATTCTTGAGGGAAACCTGTTTCAGTCTTCCAGAGATTTGAGACTGGGACGGAGGTTCACCTTCCAGCAGGACAATGACCCTAAGCATACTGCTAAAGCAACACTCGAGTGGTTTAAGGGGACACATTTAAATGTATTGGAATGGCCTAGTCAAAGCCCAGACCTCAGTCCAACTGAGAATCTGTGGTATGACTTAAAGATTGTTGTACACCAGCGGAACCCATCCAACTTGAAGAGCTGGAGCAGTTTTGCCTTGAAGACTCCCAGTGCCTAGATGTGCCAAGCTTATAGAGACATACCCCAAGAGACGTGCAGCTGTAATTGCTGCAAAAGGTGGCTCTACAAAGTATTGGCTTTGGGGGGGGGGGGGGGGTGAATAGTTATGCATGCTTAAGTTTTCTGTTTTTTTTGTCTTATTTCTTGTTTGTTTCACAATAAAAATATTTTGCATCTTCAAAGTGGTAGGCATGTTGTGTAAATCAAATGATACAAACCCCAAATGATACAAACCCCCCAATTATCCATTTTAATTCCAGGTAGTAAGGCAACAAAATAGGAAAAATGCCAAGGAGGGTGAATACTTTCGCAAGCCACTGTAGTTTGGAGTATTGGTATGGAACACCTGTCGGGCATCAGCATCCGAAATAACTACATTGGTAAAACCATTACAGGGCATCTGCATTTAGATACAGTAAACCTCTATCTAAATTCAGGTTCTCCCCAAGCTAGTCTGGCATATCATTCTTAGAATCACCCTCTTTCTTATTTCTCTGTGTCAACTGAAAGTAGGCCAAAGCAAAGGAGAGTATTTTTTTCGCTCTCAACTAAACCAACAACACTAATCCTATTCATGTCTTCAGGACATTTTATGGATGTCTGGATGCAAGATTAAAATTGTGCAGGTGTAATATTTCACAGTAGGAGGAATGCAAGATATTAAACAATATTTTCATGCACCACAAGGGGCAGATCTAAGACACAAAAACCCATCAATTTAGTTTATAGGGCTGCCAATGAGACTGGAGAAATTGTGTAGCAATTCTGAGCGAACCTATACTCATAATTAAACGGTGAGCACTGAATACATTTGTGAACAGCTGCAATTTTGTACAATTTTTTTAGCTTTATTTTACCAGGCTTGTCAATTAAGAACACATTCTCTCCATGTATTATTGTTTAACTTTAGCATTGTTAGGCTTTTGATTAGTTATGAAATACATATGCCTTGCTTACTGGGAAAGCATAATTTAATTGATCTGCAGCTTCAACTTTCTACTTTCTGACACAGTAAGCATTATTAATGTTGTGTACTGAATACATCCAAATGTATCAAGCCTTAAGGAATTCCACTGACTCATACAACAATTAAGTGGGCCTTCAGAAACATTTTAAAAAATGGACTGTTGTCGCAAATAAATGAATAGTGATGAATAGTTACGTAATAGCCCACCCATTCAACACACATGTTATGGAAACCAGTGCTATTTCATCTAAATACAATCAGTCAAACCCATGTAACCTAATTCCATACTGACCATTCCTAATCTGCCGTGTTAGACTCTGACACATGTAACCGGTGTGAAATGGCTAGCTAGTTAGCTGTGTGTGCTAGTAGCGTTTCAATCAGTGACATTACTCGCTCTGAGACCTTGAAGCAGTTGTTTCCCTTGCTCTGCAAGAGCCTCAGCTTTTGTGGAGCGATAGATAACTAAGCTTTGTGGGTGACTGTTGTTGATGTGTTCAGAGGGTCCCTGGTTCCAGCCCAGGTTGGGGTGAGGAGATGGACTCAAACAATACTGTTACACACACACAATACACTTACAAGTTCCCAAAGAGAGCAACAAACTAAACCTTCCCCTGCCTTGAGGCATTGGTATCGAGCAGCAGAAAGGAAGTGAGAGAGCTCCAGCATACGTCCATTGGATACCAAACAAGCCAAGGCTTTCTAATTCCCAGAGAAACATTTCAGGAGAATTGTTTTGTCGTCCTGCCAAAATGCCACAGCGTCTATGTGCATGCTAATGAACTCGCCTCTCCTGACTCATACATAGCCGGCCCGCTGTATGATCAATGCAGGAATAATACCCTCTTGTTCAGTGAATGGCTGCCAGGGCCTCACGATGGATCAGAAAACAAAGCGGCTTCCCAGCTCTGATACTAATAGGTTGGAAAAGTGGAAGTAAGAAAAAACGAAGTAGCAAAGAACATTAGAGGGACAACCATGGCCGTGATGACAGGCTAGCTCATAGGTGCAAAGGGCCACTTCCAGTTGATGGCATGCATCAGTCCTCAGTCAATGGAGTGCACCAACACACAGATGTTCTTGTACTCCCACATTCTGTATAGTACAAGTAATTGTAGTTTCTTCTTCTTAGATTTTGCTGTATTGATAAACCACTGGGTTTTTCTCACTATTTGCTTCCCTGCTGAGTGTTCTAATGCTGCTGGTCATGCATGTGACAACAAATAAGCCTAGATGAAGCAGCTGGCACTGGCAGTACTCTGCCCATGCAGTCACTGGGCTGGATAATTTAATTTTTCTTCTCTGGAAAAATAGAGACTTATTCCTACTCATATTGTGGTTCATGTCTGTTTCTTGCATGGCCAGCCATCGTCATATTGACAGATCCATGATTCTCCAGCTTCCACAATTCTTTCGCTCTTTCCTCCACACTCCACATTAGATTGAAAGCCATTTGTGGGTTTACATCTATAGTATACTCTTACTTGAGACAGTAAATTAGGGAGCGCTTTATAGACCAACTACAATCCTACAAACCACCATTCAGGGCCCCACTCTATGCAGTCTCCCATCCCACTTTCTTGTTGTCCGTCTCCAATCCTACTCTATTCCACCCGTAAACTTTTCCCATCTAATTAAACCCAGTCTAAACTAATTATCCTAATAGGTTTGTCTATCCAGCTAGCTGTCTCATTCTATATAGGGTACGTAGCCAGTAGACTCATTGGAAATGTTACTTCAGCAAGATCTAGAGGAATGCTATAGCACCTCTCCTTGTCATTGCCGGAGACTGTATCCATCTTAAGTACGTCTTTGCCTCACTGGTGTCTCAGTCCCAGGGTCCCTAACCATATGCTCTGTGGAGGAGATAGAGAGTTATCCCTTCTCCCCATTCCCTTTTCACTTCACTGCTACTGTTCTATGGCCTCTGGAGACGGGGGGAGGGAGATAGAGAGATAGAAAGTGAAAGCTCCTAGCCTCCTGCAGTCGAGGCCCACTATAAAGATCTAATAGATCTGCAGGAAAATAACTTTTAGTCCTTCATGCAACTCTTTATGGATTCTACCAACAAAACGGTTGATGATCTGTTTAAGGATTTAATG